TCTAGGTGAATCTAGCAAATACATATATAGTATTATATACATAAATAAATGTGCATAGAATTGTACGCTCATACATGTTTAACAGTGGTTTAAGTCATCACTGGTGAATCCTTCAAATTCGTTGTCACGATCTTCACCAGCCAGAATGCGTTGAGGGCTCTGTAAAGGTTTGTACTTAGAAAATCTTTTAAATGGATAAAATTAATTATATTTTTATTAAAACGTTATCACACATTGTCAGATTCTCTTAATCATGCACATTATTTGATCGGCTTGTGTCGTAAGGTTGGTTTCCATTGATTTACTGATTCTTTCCCCAACAAGTTCTCCTCTGCAGTTAGCTTGATTAAACATTGTCAATTACCTTCTGTCTCCATTGATACATTTTCACTCAACAATGCTTAAAGTCACTTTTATTTCGTATTTCCTTGGTCCGGAGTAGGGTCAAGAAATGATTTGAGTTTGAAGTTTTATTTTGGACCTACCATGTTTAGAATACTACTGGACCCGTGAAGATCTGAGGTAGAATAGTTTTTCAGCAATCCATGCTTGCTGTAAAAGGTGACAATGCTTGTCGTAAGAGACGACCAACAGGATCGGGTGGTCAGACTCACTGACTTGGTTGATGCATGTCATCGTTTCCCAATTGCGTAGATCAATGCTTATGCCTATCACGGTCTGGTCCAGAATCGATTATTTACAGACCACCATCATATTGCTATAATATTGCTGAGTGCGGCTTTAAACAACAAACAAACAAACAAACAGAATACCACTGTCAGAAATGTCAGAAAAGAAAACAAATGAATCTGTTGTCGATGTCTGCTGATGCATCAGCAGTTGGAAAGCTGTGCTTGTATGGTGGATGTGATGAGAGAGAGTAAAATTCTGCTTCACTTGTCCTGCACGTGCAGACACTTCATCACTTGTATAGTTGTAGGTGATGCTTGACGTGTTGGCAACAAGGTTAATCAGGGGAATATTACAGTTGACATGCTTGAAGTAATCGAGGGAACAGAAGCTGTCTGTTTCTGGCTGTGAACATCTGCTATGACTGTCTTCAGATAATTATCAAGCTGTAGCATATATGTAAACAACAAACAAACAAACATATGTAATAAGCATGAGTGAATTCAGATTCCTTCATTGGGAACATGTGTGAATAAACCCCGTTCTTGATGTCCTTCAGCCTGCGAGTCTTCAGTTTGGACATGAAACTACATACCATGCTAACAACAAACAATGTATTATGCAAGTCTGGTTGTGGTGATAAACTATTCTACTCTCATTACCACTTGTGTAAGGGCAGACCTTTAATGTACTGTTAGATGCAACCCAACTGTGAGCAATGGTGAGCTGCCCACATGCAGTAATTAGCAGCATTAACACAACAGTATTGTCACAAGGACGCTAGTACATTGGCCCAAGGCCAGCTGCCACCTATTGATGTCATTGTGGGTGTAAGTAGGGCACAGTCACACATACACTAGTGCAAAGGTTAGCAAAGGTAGTCGGTGTAAACATTGATAGCAGCTTGCCCTGTGAGCTTGCACGTTGTTGACATACTAGGTGATAAGGTGTCCGTACATACACCTGATCTGTTGTTATTTTGATGGATGAATTGTTGCCAGCACTTGAAGTTGAGTCAATCAGTTTTGAAACCCACCTGAATGCTCTTTCATCAGTATATATAGCTGAGACATTACCGTTATAGGGGCGGTCGGGTAGCCTAGTGGTTAAAGCGTTCGCTCGTCACGCCGAAGACCCGGGTTCGATTCCCGACATGGGTACAATGTGTGAAGCTGGAATATTGTGCTGGAATATTGCTAAAAGCAGCGTAAAACCAAACTCACTCACTCACTCATTACGGTTATATGATTAACATACACTCTTTGATGGTTTGCCTTGAGAGGAATTAGACTTGGGTCATTGGGAGTCCAAGCAGGAGTCATGCGAGTCATCATGGGCACTATACAATGGACACAGTTCACTGTCTTTGAGCCATTTTCTGTTTTAGGAACGGTTTTGCTGAAGTATTTTTTTTTAATGAATGGGATAATGTGACCAATGGTCATCAAGTTTGGCAAAGAAGACATTTTTGCGAAAACAACAGATTGGGTCTGATAGACTCTTGTTTGGTTTTTGTTTGTTTAGTTTGTTGTTTAAAGCTGCACTCATCAATATTCCAGTTACATGACATCAGTCTGTAAATAATCAATTGGGATATGATAACATGCATCATCCAAGTCAGCGAGCCTGACCACTCAATCCTGTTAGTCACCTCTTACAACAAGCATAGTCACCTTTTACGGCAAGCATGGGTTGCTGAAGACCTATTCTACCCTGGATCTTTATGGGTCTTGTTTGGCAGTAGGCCAAGTGTTACATGACCTTTTCCATGTTTACCCTTACCGATCTCTGAAGACACTTCACCTGGTAATAATTCCAAGAAGTAGGCCATCCAAAGCCATTCATATATCCTTCAGCACAAATAAAATCAACATAATGACTTGAAAATCTATTCCTGATAAAATCTAGGAGTTTTCTAGGAAGTTGATTTTGTATGCCATCTCACCCTATCATTATATTAAAATCTGACAGATTTTTGCTCATGATAAATCCAGCATGTACTTTCTGTGTAATGACTTAATGGTGCTGCCCATGCTTGACTAGCCATGATAGTTGGTTGGTTTGTTGTTTAACGCCGCACTCAGCAATATTCCAGCTATATGACGGCGGTCTGTAAATAATCGAGTCTGGACAAGACAATCCAGTTATTGATATCATGAGCATCGATCCACGCAATTGGGATCGATGACATGCATCAACCAAGTCAGCGAGCCTGACCACCCGATCCCGTTAGTCGCCTTTTACGACAAGCATACTAGCCATGATGGATATTCCAGTCAGCTCCCTTGTCTTCACAATGTACAGGCATGTCCCTCCTCCCTGAAACACCATTACAGTAATCAATATGCACTGTGATTGCTTCTGGTCAGCCATGCTGGAGGTGACCCCTCTGTGGTCTACTGACTGATCCTTGACCACACTAATTGCAAAGAGCTTACGTCAATAAGCTGGAGTAGTTTGTGTGTCCACTCACTTGTGCGATGTAGCTATTCGATCGGCTTGAAATGCTCTGCACTTTCGGATTATGTTGATCATATACTGTTACGTTGAATATTCTGCTCAAAAGTCATTACAGGGCACCCCACTGTTGCTAGTCTGTCATGGCTTGTGGGTATCGCAACACAGCCTTCCAATTGTGGGTGTTCTTTAACTTGTTTTGAGTAGTATACATTCTAGCCAGAGAGCAAATCTGTATGTAATCTAAGGATGCTGAAACACTACAAGGCCCGTTCCACAAAGTGACCGTAGCGCTACGACTGTCGTAAGTCTGTTGAAGTATGGAAGTTACGATCATCTTAGTGCTACGATCGCTTTGTGGAACAGGGCCCTGGTGTTTTAAAGAGGCTTCTTACCGAGGTTTTTTTTTAAATTTAAATTTTTATTCCAGAAACATCTCTGTTACAGTATCAATGATCACCATGATCACAGAAAAAGATGGGAAAAGGCTTTCGGGTCACCATGGTCTCCCATGTACCTTCAATCAAATATGACATGATAGTTTCTCCGAATAATAAGTGTTACAATGTTATCCTTTTTGAAACTGCAACGCTTCTCAAGAAACCTATCAATAGTCCGTGCCGTTCTGGCAGCAACACAGAGTGTAGAGGTGGATAAGAAGTCAGATTGGATATTTCCATTAGCTGAAATAACCAGTAGAAGAAATAGACTTTGGCTCTGGTCCTTTCTGGTGTGTGTTCATAAATAACAATCACTTCAATGGATATTACATTGATTTTCACACTAAGTGGTTTTCTTGCTCAACCTCTAGACCAATTAATAACACAATCTAGGTATGTGATAGTCTTGTAGGAAGTGGCCCTGTGGCAGCTAAGGCGCTGATGGGTTAGGCTGCTCGTGGTGGTGGGTAGTGCATGAGTTTTTTGATGAATGCCCTTGTGATTTGAAAAGTCAGCATGGTCAGAGGTATTGAAAACAATATTCATGAGAAAAAAAAATTTCTTGCATGATCATTCTTCAACAACCAAATTTCAGGTTTTCTTGTATTAGACCTGTAGTGCCCAATATCATGAATATCAATGATTAGAAAATGAGTTTGGAAGACTGAGAGACACATCCCCACCCCACCCGACCCCACCCCACCCCACCCCACCCCACCCTGACCATCAATTTTTTAAACCAATAATCAGAATCAAAGTGTCTGTGTTAATCAATTCTTAAAACTGATGTTAATCAATGGTTACAGAAAGTTACATATGTGAACAACTCGGTTATTTTGGGACAAGCCAAAAAGCGACCCGTGCCTCTCTCGTGGCCATTTTTTTGGCAACTGGGTTTCACCTTAGCGCAAACGGTCATAGCAAAAAGAATTGTCAATTTTGCCTAATGATTCCCGTACATTTCCCCCATATTTATATTTTCCAGATGCTATTTAAAACACATCGTGACTTACGGTATTATGCAGCATGTTTGAACATATTTAACTTGGATATATTTAGATGTAAGACATATGTAAAGTAAAAATTATTCCTGAGGGATTCTTTGACCAAAGTACTTGAACTCTGATTGGTTTGATGTATTTTCGCATGTAACATTTAACAATAGTCCTCCTTCAGGTTACAGGGTTATGGAAAGGGGCGAGTGATGACAAGCTTATATTTATATTTCCCATGGCAACATAGTTTATTTATTAGTTTTGTTCTGTGAAAAGTCAGTGTTGTACAGGTTTGACTGTTTCATTATGATCTAAGCCAAAAGGGTTGCTCTCTTAAATTGTATTCTGTAGAAATTACTTTTGCATGTCAGTTTGTCATGTGTAGGGTGTCATCAATTGATTGTTGCTAAGGGCAGGAGGTCTGGATGGTCAGATCTGACTTCATCGTCAGTTGTTTCATTCTTCCCTTTTGTTTCAGGTTCACACAGAAAATCCGATGTGGACTTGTTTTGAACAAGATGCCAGCTTGGACATCAAACACTTCTTTGGTTTTGAGAGCACCGTGGAGAAGATTGCCATGAAGCAGTACACGCAAAACATCAAGAAGGTAAACAAAGAGAATTATCCCTTAATAGTTAATACTATGTGTATCTTTACAGACACCATTTTCTTGTTACCTTATTGTATCCTACAGCTAGTCATGGAGATGGTTACACATTGACTGTATCCTACAGCTAGTCATGGAGATTGTTATGCATTGACTGTATCCTACAGCTAGTCATGGAGATTGTTACACACTGACTGTATCCTACAGCTAGTCATGGAGATGGTTACACATTGACTGTATCCTACAGCTAGTCATGGCGATGGTCACACATTGACTGTATCCTACAGCTAGTCATGGAGATTGTTACACACTGACTGTATCCTACAGCTAGTCATGGAGATTGTTACACATTGACTGTATCCTACAGCTAGTCATGGAGATTGTTACACATTGACTGTATCCTACCGCCTACAGCTAGTCATGGCGATTATTACGCATTGACTGTATCCTACAGCTAGTCATGGAGATGGTTACACACTGACTGTATCCTACAGCTAGTCATGAAGATTGTTACACATCCACTGTATCCTACAGCTTGTCATGGAGATGGTTACACATTGACTGTATCCTACAGCTAGTCATGGCGATTGTTACGCATTGACTGTATCCTACAGCTAGTCATGGAGATGGTTACACACTGACTGTATCCTACAGCTAGTCATGGAGATGGTTACACATTGACTGTATCCTACAGCTAGTCATGGCGATTGTTACGCATTGACTGTATCCTACAGCTAGTCATGGGGATTGTTACACATCCACTGTATCCTACATCAGCCATGGAGATTGTTACACATTGACTGTATCCTACAGCTAGTCATGGAGGTTGTTACACATCCACTGTATCCTACAGCTAGTCATGGAGATTGTTACACACTGACTGTATCCTACAGCTAGTCATGGAGATTGTTACACATTGACTGTATCCTACAGCTAGTCATGGAGATTGTTACACATTGAATGTATCCTACAGCTAGTCATGGAGATTGTTACACATCCACTGTATCCTACATCAGCCATGGAGATTGTTACACATTGACTGTATCCTACAGCTAGTCCTGGAGATTGTTACACATTGATTGTATCCTACAGCTAGTCATGAAGATTGTTACACATTGACTGTATTTGTATCCTACAGCTAGTCATGGAGATGGTTACACACTGACTGTATCCTACAGCTAGTCATGGAGATGGTTACACATTGACTGTATCCTACAGCTAGTCATGGCGATTGTTACGCATTGACTGTATCCTACAGCTAGTCATGGGGATTGTTACACATCCACTGTATCCTACATCAGCCATGGAGATTGTTACACATTGACTGTATCCTACAGCTAGTCATGGAGGTTGTTACACATCCACTGTATCCTACAGCTAGTCATGGAGATTGTTACACACTGGCTGTATCCTACAGCTAGTCATGGAGATTGTTACACATTGACTGTATCCTACAGCTAGTCATGGAGATTGTTACACATTGAATGTATCCTACAGCTAGTCATGGAGATTGTTACACATCCACTGTATCCTACATCAGCCATGGAGATTGTTACACATTGACTGTATCCTACAGCTAGTCCTGGAGATTGTTACACATTGATTGTATCCTACAGCTAGTCATGAAGATTGTTACACATTGACTTTATCCTGCAGCTAGTCATGGAGATTGTTACACACTGACTGTATCCTACAGCTAGTCATGGAGATTGTTACAAATTGACTGTATCCTACAGCTAGTCATGAAGATTGTTACACATTGACTGTATCCTACAGCTAGTCATGGAGATTGTTACACATTGACTGTATCCTACAGCTAGTCATGGAGATTGTTACACATCCACTGTATCCTACAGCTAGTCATGGAGATTGTTACCCACTGACTGTATCCTACAGCTAGTCATGGAGATTTTTACACATTGACTGTATCCGAAAGCTAGTCGTGGAGATTGTTACACATCCACTGTATCCGAAAGCTAGTCATGGAGATTGTTACACACTGACTGTATCCTACAGCTTTTCATGGAGATTGTTACACATTGACTGTATCCTACAGCTTGTCATTGAGATTGTTACACATTGACTATATCCTACAGCTGGTCATGGAGATTGTTACACATTGGCTGTGATATTGCTGTGATACCTCCTACAATTTAATAACTCACTTTGGGTTACTTTGTGACAGGAAAACAATTAACATTTAACATAGTTTCAGATAAACTGTGTGTGTAGCTTTCTAAAATTCACCAATATTTTTATGATTACCCAATTAATTTTGAATTGCTTGTGTACGTGCTGTACAAATGAAAGTTTAAAAACATCAAAAGAATGACTACGTCATGTACACTGTGGTTAATTACAGAATGTGGTCTATTCAGCATGTGTGCCTGTATTCTCTTTTTTGACTAATTGTGTGCATGCGTCCCATATATGTGAACTCTTCGGTCATGAATAATGCAATATGGCTTAAGTACATGCTGCTTCCTCTGCCATAAAACGAGGCACCTTTAATACGATGGATGAACTACTTGTAAGTGGCAACTGTTACACTATACAGGCTATAAAAGTATAGGTTAATGTGTTTTTGGTCTAGAAAGTATTGACATTATTTCCATATTTTTTTAACCATGAGAACTGTAAGTTATTCTTCTGTTGTTGTTGTTTGGTTTTTTTGTTGTTTAACACCGCACTCAGCAATATTCCAGCTATATGATGGGGTCTGTAAATAATCAAATCTGGACCAGACAATCCAGTGATTGACATCATGAGCATCGATCCACACAACTGGGATACGATTGATGACATGCATCAACCAAGTTAGCAAGTCTGACCACCCGATCCCATTAGTTGCCTCCTACGACAAGCATAGTGGCCTTTTACGTCAAGCATGGGTTGCTGAAGACCTATTCTACCCTGGATCTTCACGGGTCTACTCTTCTGTAAACATGGTAAAATGGTGGATTAAGATGGTCGTCTTCTTGAGATTTGGAATACAGTGATATGATGACATATGTTTGCTGATAATAAGTTCCAATCTTGCATCTTCCTTATCCCGGCACAGTGAGGCTGGTTAGGCTCATCGTCAGCTCAGGGCCTTTTGCCCCCTCTACACCAAAGCCCAGACACCGAAGTCAAACCCAGCCAGAACTTTTCAGAGAAAGTGAAGACTCCCCAACTCTGTAGCCTTCTGCAATACTGAGATCGTCAGAAGGGCTGTATCCCTGGCAGCAAACCCGGGCACTCTCCCAATGTCAGTCATCAGATTGGGAGGTACCAAACTTAAGGCACGAGAACAATGGTTAGTCGGACAACTTGGTACTTGGGATGCAAGGGGGACATTTCCAAAACGAGGCCGCATATTTGCCATGTTTTCCCTGAACCTAATCAATCACATTAACATTAGTGTCAAAAGGGACAGAAAATTCAATGATATGGATGATTTCATTAGAATTATAAATAGGGACAAGATTATGTTTTTTGGCCTGGATAGCATGGGATAGGTCTGAGACTGTATACAGGCCTATGCCAAAGATTGGGTGTTCAGAGTTTTCTTGTGTATTGTCCAGCTGGCATCACTTGTGTACTCCCTGTTGTCACATGGTTGAACATGTGCTTAGACTGGCACAGAAATGTGTGAAGTCATCGTGAAAAAACAGGAATGTCCACCTGCTGTCGCTGGTCACAGACCTGATTGATCAGTATCTTCTAGTTGTTTGTACTCTGTGTCCTGTTGGTTGCCCTGGTACGCCCCCACAGTATGTGTGCTATCTGATTGTGACTGACTGCATGAAGTTAACCATGTGGCACAATGATATCAACATAAGCTGTGTTCTCAATATGATAATGTGGAGACATATGCTCTGAAATTCTGAATTTCTACTTGTAGTAGGATTTGTTATCAGTGTTTGAAAGTAAGAATGAATTTTATCACTTGTTCATAGTGTCATTGTCATATTACACTTCTAGGAAAAGTCACAGATTTACGTCATCCCCAAATGAAAGTAAAATATGTACATGGTCCCTGTTTGGGCTGGGACGGATAACTCGGGTACTTGGGTCAGGTGGGTACTGAGTAGGACCCAGGTACCCACAGGACTACCTGTGGTTAGTCACGAAATATATTGTTTAATGACCAAACTTATCTAGAACTCCATGGTTTCACTACAAGTCACTGATGTTGGCGTTTCTTTCTGACTACGCACCCATTCCTTCTGACTTTCATATGTTTGAACAAAAATAAATCTTCAGTTAACTTCAGGGTGTGCATGACCAGATTGTCTTATATGTGTATCTGAATATATTTTGCCAGGCATGTGGTCCAACTATTTCCAATCGGACATTTTGTACCCATCTCTTGAGACATACAGCAGGTACCCTCAGTACTGTCACCTTTTATGGCAAGCATGGGTTGCTGAAGACCCATTCTACTCCAGATGATGAACATAGGGCTTTGACAGAACATTTTAATATATATGTTGATCATTTTGACAGACATGATATTGTTTCTTTCCACTGTGTTGGTATGCAAGATGATCTAAGGAAGAAATGAAAACCACACCTGATTTAGAATATTATACAAAATAAGCCAAATACCAACAAAATATCATCTATAGGTTTTCAATAATTGTTTGCCTTGCCCATTATTCATAGATCACTGTGACAGATGCGATATTGCTGACTGTGGCATAAAACAACATTTAATCACTCAACCATTCGTGTTCCTACATCACACAATATTATCCTGATTATTGTATGACCATGATGACACAGTGTCTGGTACCAGTAGTTGAGAACACCCTACACCTAGCGGAATACTTATCTCTGTATTCCCAGGTGCCATTACGGTGCACAAGTAGGGCTGTAGGAAGCAGTATTGAATATCAATATGGTTACCAAGCACCTTGTGGGAAACATTAATACTGCTATCATTGTCAAGTTGTTTTATTTGAGCTGAGTTAGGTGGTGTTAAAAGAGTCAATAACCCTTTGCTCTGTATGTAT